CTATATGCTGGGATGTGGACAGTGTTGCCGCCAGCTACTAATGATGACGATATGCTGGGACGTGGACAGTGTTGCCGCCAGCTACAGATGATGATGATATGCTGGGACGTGGACAGTGTAGCCGCCAGCTACAGATGTTGATTATATGCTGGGACGTGGACAGTGTGCCGCCAGCTACTGATGATGATTATGTGCTGGGACGCGAACAGTGTTGCCGCCAACTACTGATGATTATGTGCTGGGACGTGGCCAGTGTGCCGCCAGCTATTGATGATGATTATGTGCTGGGACGTGGCCAGTGAGCCGCCAGCTATAGATGATGATTATACGCTGGGACGTGGCCCGTATGCCGCCAGCTGCAACCGACAGTCGACTTGCTATGATTATGGTATGATTTCGGATGCCGGAGTTGGATACGAGCAGCCTATGATGGTTCGGCTCAATGGTGGACTCATGTGTCTGTCGGGCCCAGATTGGCCCCAGTATTGTATGAATGTAAGTTAAAATTTTAAATTTCAGTTCATTGCATTGTATCTGGCTTGTCACGTGTCAGTCCTGGGATATACCTGGGGGATTGGGAGGCAGTTCTTGGGATTTCAGTTCTTGCCTCTTATTGTACTTTATTGGTGTGCATGGCATTGTGGAATGGATGGCTGTGGGATAATGTGAAAATATGTTTTCTTCCTCTCATAAGTCAGCGCTCAATTGATGGGGCAACCTCCTAGTACGATAGCGTAAGGAGGATTGCCTAGCATCACATGACACAAGTTGATTGGTTATTCCTGAAAGAGGGTGGTGCTTAACCTAGTGAAGTGTTCCAGTGGCAAGTAACTCAGCATCATCAGATGGGGTTCCACTCCAGATGGGCCTTCGCGGTTAGACACTGTCGAGCTCTGAAGGGATGGGTAGTCAGTCATGTGTCATAGTCGATGGAGTGATCTGTCCGATCTTGTAGTGGGGGCGAAGATCACTCAGCATTGCAGCGGTTTGGAGCTTGCTGGGTTCTTCTTGATGCAAGGAGTGTTCCCATTGCAGCCACCGCGTTCTCGCATTGGTTCACCGACGAGAATCTAACCACAGTGGCGTCCCCTGCGGTGTCAGCACTTATGTCCTTCATAAAGAGGCAGAGAGTTTCAAGTGCGCCTCTCGAGCAAGAGATGATTCCCTGAAGCAGGTTCTCACAGGTCCATAGGCTAGCTGAGTTGACAGGGCGTCCGAGCCATAGCGGCTGATAGCCTCGAACCCTCGGGTGGTTAGCCGTTCCCGGGTCGTCGCGTGGCGATCTGGTCCGCCTGCTGGAAAGGAAGGAGGCATCCTGAGCCTCTCCCAGTCTAAATCCGACATTTGGCTGATCAAGGTGGTAGACTCCTACTATCACTATGATCGGGGTGTCTCTAGGGAGCCGTGTCTCCAGGGGCATTCCCTTGGCATCGCGCCAAGCCAGGTATTCACTGCCCAGCTGGCAACAGGGCCATTATGGCCTCCTAGCCCACTGTTGCAAAGCTTAATTGTGGGCTCGCTTTGACTCACCAGCCGGGTCTGGTTGGGTGTTGGCTGGCTCCACGCACAGTTGCAAAGAGTCGGACGTTAGTCAGCGAGTAGACAGATGCTCTGATGTCGACTAATGAGCTTCTGATCCATGGGTCTGAACTCATCGGAGTGAGGGCTTCATGAAGGGGTGTGCGGCTCCCTTGAGCTGTTCTGAGCAAGGGCTCGGAGGATGATCGGACCGCCATGACTGGGAATCAGGACTGACTTTGCTCTGCTTGCTGGGTTGGGTTAGCGGAGGAGCCCACCAGGGCGAGCAGGGGCACTCTTGGAAGGCCGAAAGGTAAGACTCTGAGAGTGAGTGAGGAAGGGGTGTTGGCAAGGGTCTTTAGGGGGGACCCTTTTCTCATATGTTTTTTGGCATGACATGATCTCTGTTTTGCAGGTACCCTACAGCCAGATGAAGACAACGGGGTTTGGTATGACCCGACAGTAAGCGGCACAGAGCCAGCAGACAAAGGGGTTTGGTATGTTTCCCCCTTATGAGGCGGCCTTTGGTCAAGATGACCCAGATGATCCTGAGTTCGATGATTAGTCCCATATCCACCCGTGGCTGTACTGTAACTGAGATGATGATGAGGATTATATTGTGTTGATGAGATGGACTGATCCGATGAGGTCGAGATGAGCAGGCCAGGGCTGAGACTTGGACTGCTAGGCCAGACCTAATGATAGGATTTGGTCTAAGATTGGGTCTGATTGTGATGATGCACGAGGTCAAACCTAATGAGAGGATTGACCTAAGATTAAGACTGATTTAGAAGTGCAAGAAAACGGGATTGGTAGTATGATTGGGCTGCATGAGCCGTCATGACATTTGCGTGCGGTGACCTAAGATTAAGACTGATTAAGACTGATAAGACTAATCCTTCTTTGATTTTGATGGTGGCTTGGACCAGAGGTCCATGCCTTATTGAGCAAGCACTCGAGCCCTAGCAGGCGAGCACTTTGATGATTGAGATATGTTTTATATCATGCCTCTATATATTAGATAGCATATGAGGCCGCACAGTTCAAGCTGGCATATGAAGAATAGCGCAAGTACGACGCACGAGTGATGATTGGGCGGCGCAATTTGGCGGACGACGGGCGGATCTGGTGGTGGCGCAGGGCGAGGCAGCTGTGGCAGGATGGTGAGTTGGCGAGGGTGAGGCTGATCAGAAGAAGAGGAAGGACGATATGGTGAAGGGTACGATCGAGAGGGCGGCTCGAAACGTGGAGGCGGGCTGCCATAGCGCTGCTCGTATTTATATGTATAGTACATCATGGACCCAGGCGACGGAGTGCGACCACGCCAGTCCTCTGAGCGATGGCGCAAGCGCGTTCCTTCTCATCTCTCCTCCTCCTCCTCTTCGGATCTTTCCTCCTCGTATGTCAGATCGATTGGTCGATCTGGCGCCTTCCCCTGTCGGCCTCCTCTCCCGCGTCCAGCACCCGAGCCTCGCGTTTTCGGCGCCATAGCAAAGGCTGATTAGCTGCGCAACGGTAAGCACTACTGCGATGAGAGAACGAGCAAGTCGAGAGCGATGACAGCGCGGGCCTGGCGAGTGTCCGAGCAAGCAGAGATCAGCGATGGCAGCAACGACAACAAAAGCACGATAAGCGCCGCACACTCGTTTGAGCGGATTTGAGGGCGAATGATAGAAGTGATGTGTATATATATCCCCTTATAATAGAGGGATCCAGGCGGGGACGCCAGGAATGGGGTTTGGTATGGTTGTCGGAGAGCGGCGCGCCGCGTCAACGTATACTTGACTCGTCGCGGCCAGCCTCCGCACCTTAGGGCTGCTTGTGGTCACGATCAGCAGAATGTTGACACGCTGGTTTGGCCCTTGGGTCGAGTCAGCGGACAAGACGGCGCGACGGTCCAGCCCCATGGAGATCGAATCACGGCTTTTGGGCTGAACAGCCGCGTCTGCAAGGACCAGATTAGTAGGGCCCGGTCCGAACGGTACTGAAAACGGACGAAGGGTTAGTGAGAGAAATAAAATTGACCACTTGGGACTGGACTTAGCGCGTCGGGAAGAATACGGCCCGAAATGGTCAAGGGGAATACGGGATTGGGCCCCTTATTGAGAATAATAGGGGTGTTTTATTTTTGAAACAAGGCCGACCCTTAGTATTCCAAAGTCGGGCCAGCCCAAGCCCGACGCTAATTTTAGCATTGGTCCATGCTATTTTTAGCGTTGGCCGCGCTATTTTTGGCACAGGCCTGGGTTACTTTTAGCACGGGCTCGAGCTAAATATAGCGCAGGCCCACGCTATTTTTAGCATGGGGCGGACTGTCCGTATCCCAAGGTCGGGGCTGTCCCAAGCCCCGCACTATTTTTAGCCGAGTCTCGCGTTATTTTTAGCGCAGTCCCGTGCTAATTTTAGCACAAGCCTGCGCTATATTTAGCGCAGGCCCGTACTATTTTTAACACGGGACTGACTGTTCGTGTTCCGAAGTCGGGACTGTCCCAGTCCCGTGCTAATCTTAGTGCAGTCCCGCACTAATTTTAGCACAGGCCCGCGCTATATTTAGCGCAGGCCCGTGCTATTTTTAATACAGGACTGACTGTTCGTGTCCCAAAGTCGGGACTGTCCCAGTCCTGCGCTAATTTTAGCGCAGGCGTGTGCTATTTTAGCACAGGCCTGTGCTATTTTTAGCCCAAGGACTGCTGCACCTTGCCCGATCACCTGGCCTCTTCACTATAAAAGAGAGGCCGAGCCACTTGAGAAACACAAGAGAGGCCCTCATTTGCGGGAATGCGGAAGCACTGGCGGAACGRCAAGCGGKAATTGCAGCGTTGGAACAAGTAAGGGAAGAAGAAAGACGAGGCAAGCAAGWGAGAGGTAAAGGAGTGGAGCAGCTYGGGGAGGAGGTAGTCTTGGTTCTCACCAGGGTCATAGCCCTCTCCCTTGCCTCCCCTCCTATCACTCTCTCCCTTTGCTCTTTCCTCTCCCTCTCTTCTTCCTCCCTCTCCTTACTCACTTCTGTCATCCCCCCCCTTTTTGTCAGACCGGTCGCTTATGAATAAGCCCCGGTTTTATTTTATTTAATTTTATTTTTATTTTCGGTGTGCACCATTGCCGCAAAAAGGGTTACTGTATGCCTGTGCGCCGCGCCAGAGAGCACAAGGGTTACTGTATGCCTGTGCGCCGCGCCAGAGAGCACAAGGGTTACTGTATGCCTG